CTCTCCTCTCCTCTCCTCTCCTCTCCTCTCCTCTCCTCTCCTCTCCTCCCCTCTCCTCTTCTCTTCTCCTCCTTTTTCTCCTTTCTCCTTTCTCCTCTCCTCTCCTCTCCTCTTCTCTCCTCTCCTCTTCTCTTTTCATTTTTTTCCTGTTTCTTAATTTGGTTGTGTGGACTTGACTTTGTCCCTAAAAACAACCTTATGGTGGTTTCCTTATATTATCCAAAAGATTTTGGCTTACTTTATTTATGTTTGCTTATCTGTTTGTTTTTTGAACTGGGGGGAGTCCTATTTAAATTTTTCAGTGTGTGCATGTATGTGTGTGTGTATGTGTTTGTGTATGTGTTTTCCTTTTGTCCCAAGTGTCCTTTCTGTAGTTTACTCTGCTGATTTAAATTTTACTAATTTTAAAAGGCTGTCCAATTTTCATGATGTGTGTTAATATATCCCTGTTTCCAAAGCTAGAATAAAGACAAGCATGTAAATTTCACACCTCTTCAATACGTTAACTACTCTGTTTTGAAAGATTTTTGTAGTTCCTATTATTTTTTCAACTATGTGCAAGAAACCCATTTTGTTTGTCTATTTTTAGATTAACTGCTTAAAGACCAATTAAAACATTTTGGTATAAGAGCACAGTCATTTTGTAAAATGTAGTTTATTAAAACTACATCAAGTGCAAGGCCAAGGGCATAAACATTATAGAGGAAAGAACATTTTAATGAATGTGTTTTCTGGGAATCCTCTGTGCCAAACTGGCAGCATAGGTGCTAGACATCTGCTGTAGGTGGCAAGTGTAAATCACAACTGTTTGTAAAGCCCACATAAGGTATGGGAGCTACAATTCATCATTAGCCTCTGACTGGAAACCTTGCATGTATGAACCAGCTCTTCCTTGTTAGCTTTGGGATTTTATAAAAGATTTATTGTCCATTAAGCTTTACCAATGCTTAAACTCCTTCTAGCAAGAGCATTCAATTTTTAATTTATACAAAGAGATAAAAGTGTGTGCCTAAGCATCATATTGGAGCCAAATGGGAGGAATTAAACCACTCATGAAAGTAAACAAGGGATTAATTGGCATTTTATTTTAAGTGATTAAAAATGTCTGGCAAGATGATCCAGTGGTAAAAGGAGTTTGCCACAAGAACCTGGGGACCAGAGTTTAATCTCTGGGACCCACGTAAGGATGGAAGGAGAGGACTTATTCCAGAAAGTTGTCATCTAACCTCCATATGCATGGGAAAGCCTGCATGAGGCTTGACACATAAATAACAACGCGTTTGAAGTACCATTGGAAGCTATCACTATTATATTTCACAGGACATATTCTTACAGAGGCTGGATCAGATGTTTCATTTAGTCTCAGCATCTTGCAGCATATCAAGTTGGCTCCCACAGCAATGTTCACATAAAGGAAAGAGTCTGAATGGTGTTGACACACATATATAATTAATCATTGCCTTAACTGTCCATTTACTATCCAACACTAAATCTGCCAGTGTGTGTGTGTGTATGTGTGTGTGTGTGTGTGTGCATGTGCGTGAGTGTTTGCATGTGTTCACCAAGCCTTCTTTACTGACAGGCAGGATCTTCTTTAGAAGAAAATAATGTACTCCATTAGATTTTCTTCAGCAAAACCATGTTGTGACTGTGCTGGCAAATGTTCCTTCTTCCTGCTCCCACTGCCACTGAGAGGGGCTGCATCCTTGGTGTTGTCTGTTTCCCTATGGACCTGCCTACATCCCCCAAAGAAAGGAAGTGGCAAGATTACTAACCCACCCCTCAATGAAAGGATTTCCATGGCGCAGCTTGGGACAGATCACAGCAGGCCAAGATGGTTCCACGAGGGGAGGTTTATTAAGAGAGTGGGAGAGCAAGAGGAGAGAGAGAGAGAAGTAGAGAGGAGTAGAGGCCGGCCATGACCACGTGGAGAGAGGGAGAAGAGAAGGGGAGAGGGGAGAGGATAACCTGCAGGTGCTCAGGGTTGAGCCACTTCTAGTTCTGTCTCTGGAGGTCTATAAGTGAGTCAGCCTAGGTCATGTGAGGGAGGCTAAGGCTCTGCTTCCCTCTGGAATTTACATCCCCTCAAACAACAGATAATATTATTGCTTTACGCTAAATTACCAACTCTTTATGCCAAGCAAAGAAGCAGGTGGCCGGATGAATGGAAACAAAGACTCAGATTATTTTCCCTTCTAGCCATCACCCATACACCAGTGATCCTGCCTTAAAATGGAGCCATTCTATAAAATGATTTATGACAGAAAGTCGGAGGGAGAAATAGATGAAGGCAGCATTAGACTTTACCCAAGTTTATTACATGAGTTCCATCATCCTGGGACTGGAGGAAAAACCTTGATGCTGTATGACGAGTGACAACCAAACTCTCAAAGATCATTCACAACAGACCCCTCCAGTACAAAGTAGTTTGACATGTTCAGCTGCAATGTTCCATATTGTATGTCCAGTGATTAATATGTTAAATAAGCATCTGTGAAAAGAAGCACAATGTTCTTGTTGTCTAAAGTATTCACTCTCTTTTTTACAGGAAGTTGATAAATGGTCTTTTGACGTATTTGCCTTAAATGAAGCAAGCGGGGAGCATAGTCTGAAGTTTATGATTTATGAACTGTTTACCAGATATGATCTTATCAACCGCTTCAAGGTCAGAAATGTCAACAGTGAGATGCTTTGAGAATTGGTTATGTGAATAAAAATGACAATAAAGAACACTGAGGCATTGATCTATGCCTTCAGGTTAACTTAGCAGGTCACAGGTTAGCGGTATGAGCTCACCGTCTGATGAAACCACTACTCGCTGACATGTCTGTGATACAGGCACCCCTGGATTCTTCATAGAATATTATCAGGACAAAAACTGTTTTGAAGAAGTACAGTAGATTCTAGTGTCTGTGTACTACACAGAAGTCCTGTCCTTTTTAAATATCAAGGCATGATCTTTCTATGTAGCTCAGGGTAACTGTGAATTTGCCATGTAGCACAGACTGTCTCACAGTCTTCTTGACTCAGCTACGGGAACGCTGGGATGTTAGTACCACATCTACCTGACTGGAAGCTTTTCATAGATTCAAAAGTTAGGTCTTCAAATTGGTTTCACTTAGAAGCAACTAAGCCAGCGATTTGATTCTGATTTCTGAGCAGTCTGAGGCTCTAGCTTTTATTTCCCGGGGATCATGGCATTATAAAGGCTGGAAAGTACTGGGAGGCCACAGATTTTCTCCTACAGATGGGAATGCTAGGCCTTGCTGCTTATATTTATGCTTTTATACTTTTAAGAACTAGCCTTTATTCTTGACTGTTAAATATATAAAATGACAGAACTATATGGTATGAGCTATTTCATTTGGGTTACAGTCCTCCAGATCGAAAGCTAACATACCAATAATGTGATTTTTCAAGACTAATCACATTGAACTTAAAAGTACTGTCCGTATTTGACTCATTAATATTTGTTTCATTTTCAAACACTGTGCTCTTACTTATGTAGCATAACAATTTTGGCCAAAATGTGATCATAAATATTGCTTTCCACAGATTCCTGTTTCTTGCCTAATTGCCTTTGCAGAAGCTTTAGAAGTTGGTTACAGCAAGCACAAAAATCCATATCATAATTTGGTCCATGCAGCTGATGTCACTCAAACTGTGCATTATATAATGCTTCATACAGGTATCATGGTAAGAAACTCTTTATAAATAAAGTGTATTAGCATGGTGATAGCACACACCATCCTGAGATCCTCATGCTATGAACAAATATGTGTACAATATCATAGATAGTTCTAACATATATGTAAAAATCACTGAGATTTTACAAATTAGTTATACATTTTTCAGAAAGTATTTTAATTCTGTGGAAGAAAACATACTTAAAGGTCAATTAAAATATATTTAATATGTTCATTTTAAAAAGTTTGAACTATAGAACGGTTTTGCTTGTGCTTTGTTTCCTTTTCATTGCAAATGGATTTTTTTCTCACATATAATAATTATGGTTTCCACTTTCTCTACTCTTCCCAGTTTCACCCATCTTATCTCCAAGTGGATCCACCCCTTTCTGCCTCTCCTTAGAAAACAAACAGGCTTCTAAGGGTAATGATATGATATGATACAATGTGACAGATATATGATATGACATGATATGATAAAACAAAAACTAACCCATTGGAATAGGACGAAGTGATATATACAATACAAACACAGAGAAAGAAAAGAACCCATGAAAAGACACAAGAAACAAACATAAACACAGAGACCCTTTCAATTCCACACTCATGGCTTCTGTAAAAATACTACATTGAAAGACATAGTGCAAACGGGGAGAGAGAGGGGGGGGCAGAGAGAGAGAGAGAGAAAGAGAGAAAGAGAGAAAAAGAGAGAGAAAGAGAGAGAAAGAGAGATTTATATATGCATATAAAGCATATGGTGTGGCATTATGAGACAAGGAACCTCCAAAGATGCTGTTGAATATATTTTTTTTGTTGTCTGGGCATGCAGCGTACTCTCTTGAAGAGTAGTTTGTTTCTACACTTTTTTCTATGCAAATTGTTTATTCTTACAGAACCAACCAAAACTAAAATAAGTTAAATAATTGATGCAGAGAAAAAGTCTTAAGTCTTCAGAATATTTTAAGGATAAATTCTCACTTTCTAGCTCATCTAACTTCAGGGCTGTTTCTCTGTGCTTACAATACTAACCACAGGCACATTCCTACAGAGGGTTGGGGGAATTATGCAGGTAAGCTTTTACTGGTATTCCTTTCTGACTTTTGTACCCTAGCAAATGAATGAATGAGCAAGATATTCAACATGGAGATATTAGAGAAACAGTAAGAGAAGATTGTAGAAGGTCTGGGAATCTCTGTGGTGTCTTCCAGCTCAGGATATCAACTGGAAGGAAAAAGAAGTACCTACTAATTTGGGCAGTGAGGTTGACAGGCCATGGGTCACCCTCCAGTCCTGTGGCTCTCAATTCCTCATGTTCCAGTGTTTACTAATATAATGTTATTAATGCCTGTAAGTGGCATCTATTTAAGCTAAATCCTTGGGTTACAATTCTCATCACAATTGGAAGCTAACCTGTCAATAATATGGTGTTTCAGACATCCCATTCCAGTGTCTACATGGGATTCATGGACTACCTTCAAGCTCTTCACTCTGCATGATAAGGGTTAGGGTCCCAGGAAAGTCTTCTGAGGCCTTAGAATCCTAAAGAGCTTGTCAACTTGTCACAGGTGCATGATTCTCTAAGATGAACAAAGGCAGAAAACTATCATCACAGTTGTGTTTTCTCATTCTGAAATTAATTCTGTTGACTACTACATATAATATCTAGGTGCGAGGGCTTACTCACAGTTCCTCACACATTGACCAAATACATTTTTAGTCCTTACTTTCCTTCGTCTCCTAATCTTTGCAGATCTGTCAATGCCTTGGGATCAGATCCCTCTTTTTCCCTGGATTCCATGTTACCTGTTCTGCAAGAAATGTATCCAAAGCACAGTATCTTGAGACAGTGATTTGCTGTTCTCTCTCAAGGGCCTGTCCTTAAAAGTCCCAGCAGGGAGGCTTGTGCTTGAGGTGTCTCATGGGATTGCAGCCAGCTAGCTGCAATAGCTGGAGACAGCTGAGGACATCCCTGACCTGTGATCTAGGATGGCTCACCCTTGTGACTTCTTGTAGATAATGACTCGTGGTCAAGCTCAGGTGAGCACTTAAGGGATAGTTTAAATTTTCACTACATTGTAGAAATGTCTTCCCTATGACATAGCACTTTGAAAACTTTCTAAAAGAAATGTTGCCAGGACTCTTTGTTTCTCTTGAATGAGAGCTTCTGTGCATACCTCAGTTTCCCCCAAACCTTACAGTCCAACGAGTTTTCATTGTCACAGGTCTTTCTGGAAGGCTCTGCATTCTCTTGCCTTAGTGTACAAGATATATTGAGAATGGAAATAAGGACCTCCTGATAATTCTAAGTGCTGTTCTGTGGGACACATTGCCTTGGGGTCCTCTATTTGCCTGTTGAGTTCTAATGCCTCTGTCTTGACTCTAACAACGAGGTGATTTGTTTTTTCAAATGTTTGCTATTCTCTCTTTCCTGAATTTATTGTTTTTTGAATTAACTATAAAAGAAAAAAAACATTTATTTAAATCACACTCTACAGTGGAGAGTGAACTGAGAAAAAGGGTGAAGAAGCAATGCTCATTTTGCTCTAATTCAATAGCTGCTCAATTGTGAAGAAAATTGAAAAAATAAAATATCCCAGCCAGAGTTTCATCATCTTACAATATGATTCAGTGCAAACACATTTTGCTGTTTTCTTTTGTTTACTGCAAGGACATGGGGACCAAATAAACACCTCCTCTTTTATCCTCTTTTATTCCGAAGTTCAAAGGTTACACTGAAAAGATATGAGGTGTCACATTATATTTATTTTATTTATTTATTTATTTATTTATTCATTTATTTATTATTCACCCCCTCACTTTACATCCCAGTATCAGCCCCCCCATCTCCATCTCCTTCCAGTCCCTCCTCTCACACAGCTCCTTCTCACATCCCCCCACTTGCCTTCTACTCTGAGAAGGGGTTGGCTCCTTCTGAGTGTCACACCACCATGGCACATCAAGTCACTGTAAGACTAGGTACATCCTCTCCCACTGTCACAAGACAACGAAGCCCAGTTAGGGAAATGGTGTCCAAAGGCAGACAACAGAGTCAGTGTCAGTTCCCACTCCAGTTGTTGGGAGACCAGCATGAAAATCAAGCTTTGTATCTGCTACATATGTGCGGGCGGCCTAGGACAGCCCCATACTTATTCTTTGGTGGGTGGTTCAGTTTGTGGGAGTCCCCAGGGGTCCAGGTGATTTGACCCTTTTGGTCTTCCTGTGGAGTCCCAATCCTTCCCTCAACTCTTCCAAACTCTTTCAATGACTTCCCGAGGTCCATCTAATGGTTGGCTGTGAGTTTCTGTCTCTCTTTACCTTGGCTGCTGGGTGGAGGACTATTATGCTCCTGCCTGCAAGCATAACTATCATTAATGACACTGTCATTAATAGTATCAAGGGTTGGTTCTTGTCCATGGGATTGGTCTTAATTTGGGCCAGTCATTGAGTGGTCATCCCCTCCTTCTCTGCTCCATCTTTGTCTCTGCACATCTTGTAGGCAGGACACAATTTGGATCGAAGAATTCATTGGCTGGGTTGCTGTTCTTATCTCTCCACTGGGAATCCTGCCTGGGTAAAAGAAGTGGCCACTACAGGCTCCATATCCCCCAGTGCTAGGAGTCTAAGCTAGGATCACCCTCATAGACTCACTGGGGCCTCCGGCCCACCCCCTACCTCTGACCTCAGTCTGGGTCTCTGGCACATCCAAGAGACAACCCCCTGCCGATTTCTTTCCTCTTATCCCTGCCCTCCCTACTCCTGATCCCCCTACCCCAGCCCCCATCCATCTTCTCATCCACTGTATGCCTTTAGCCTCAGACTTACAAGGAAGATTTGTTGAGTGCTTCAAATGCCCTTTCCTGTTCTCTTGAAGCTAGAGAATTCTGAGCCCACATCTCTGGTTCTTGGCACAATACCAAGAAAATGAAGCCATTAGTGCAGGTCAGAGGCACTCTTGAGAAAGCCACAAATGTGATTGTAACTTCCTTTCTATTAACAAAATTGGTGTGACACCTGGCTTCCGATTTTAATCATTCTTCAGAAAAATATCAGTGGGGTCACCTGTTAGTGTGACCATTACAAAATTAGTTTCCTGGCAAATCTAATTTCGTCTCTACTAAGATCCAGAAATTGCATTTAAAGCAAAAGGGAGAGTGATTTTTTACAGTGGAATACAAATTTTTTTTTTGTAGGTGAAATGAATTCATGAATGTGTTGAGTATTTTCTCAAAATGAGATCCCACTACCAACTTGACAGTTTTAGAATTGCAGTTTTAACATGCTTTCTTCCTTGGTGGTAGGCAAACACTAATTTTCTTACAAATGAACATTTAGGTCTTTGGAACAAAAACGCGTTACAGAGATACCAGTTAAACCTGTTCCAGTCTTTGTCACCCTTCAGATTTGGTATGGAAAAGACTGGGTCACTCCTTTTAGCGTTGAGCTATTTTGAGCTGGCCTCTTATCAGAGCGACATTTCTAGAGCACTCCAGTTCCAGGCCAAGGCTGTCAGGTGACTAATGCATCTGTCACCTGCAAGGTGTTCTGAGGGGCATTGTGTGAAAGGGATTGTGATGGAGCTTCCTGTGTGTTAATGGCAGAGGAGAAGCCCTCAGTCCTGACAGTCAGTCAGCAGTAGAGAGAGACAGGGACTTGATGTTGGCAAGGCCACTTGCTTCCCTGTCTCTCCGTTTGTCACCTGATTAACTTGTAACCCATGCCACAGTGACAGTGATGTGAAGAAAATCCATTTGCTAAAGAGCCATTGCTCTGTGTCGTGATGTCAAACTACCTCCAACTGTCTCTTTGAATACAAGGTCATTCTAGGGCCATACTCAGAGCACTTTGTACTTGGTGGCTGTTGACCTTCATTTTCTCTAAGGAGCTGGGTAGAAGAAAGAGAGGCAACTTGCAATCTTTCCTTTGGAATTTGAAACCCACTGCCTGGCTGGATGCCAACTCCCACACTTTGGGATGACTCTATTTTTCTCTGATCAATCTGCAGAAAATGTGGCAGGAAGCCCATGGTCTGTGGTAATGGCTTCCTTGGGAATACTGTTTGAAAGAGCGTGGGTTTAGGAGGCTGCCACCAGCTTTGAAAACATTATCTGCCACATCTAATGTGCTAGCTCTCCATTTTGGCCTCTATTAACTCCTCACTAAAACAGAGTTAATAATACTGACCAATTCACAGGCTGGTAATGAAGAGCCATTAAGTCTCACTATAAAGCACTTTGTGCAACACCTGAAAGAAAAGAAGTGTTAATACAAGCTAAATTATTATTAGCTTTATAATGCAATACCTTTCTGTTTAAAATGATATCAAACTACTGGAATTATTTTCTTTCAACAAGGTGATGAAAAAAATGTGTCAACTCCAGCACTTTAGGCTCAAATAGTTATTAATTATGTCTTTTTAAAACGTCCTGAAGAAAAAAAATGCTTCTAAGAACCAACTCAATATGATTTTCTGATCTAAAATTCTCCCTAGACTAAACATATGCTTCATCACACATATGCATATACATACACAGCAATTTAAATGTGAATATACTCTTAGAGTTCTATTAACTTTACAAATTCATATGTCCAGGTAATTCAGTTAGCTATTTTGCTTTTGAACGATTAGAACATGGACAGCTGTCTCTAACCATGAAGCTTACTGTGATCTACAGAAGGAAAAGAAACTGAAATCCTTGTTTTGTCTGAATCCTGACTCTTGTCTCTGTGTGCCCTCTGACACGTTGATCCATTTCCATGGGACTGAGCTTTGCAATCCACCAACATAAAGACACAAATATTTACATACTGAGTGGAAAGTAGGACAAAAACAAGAATAATGGAAACGCATGGGCCCATCTAATAATAGCTCTTTCCCATCCTGTCTATCACTGTGGTGTAAGCTGTTAGGAGCGGTCAGTACTTTCTTTTGATGTAGCAGGAGGACTACCCACTTGAGAACATGTCTGCCGGAGTCCTCCTCTAGGCCACATGCTGTCTACGGTTTCGATGAGGTACAGAATCTACATTGCTCCTGGCTCATCAGTTTTAACCTTAGATTTCTACCCATCAAGGACCAGCAGAACCCCAGTGTTGGCTCAGTTCTGTTCCAGATGGGAACCATGATAGGATCTGACTTTGTATGTCCTAGCTTGTCCCCAGGAATTATTTTAAAAATCTACAAGCTAAAACATTTTTTTTTAACTCTAAGGACATTCATCACTAGTAACAAATGAATCATCTGTGAAAGAACTAGTAGTCATCCCCAAATTCTACTTTTACTAATACAAAAAAAAGATATTTTTCAGTTGAATGTAAAGATTTCTGTATTCCCAAATTTTCTCATATAAACGCAATCAATAAGAACACAACATGGTAATAATTAAGTGGGGTTCACAGAGAAACTTCTTTTTGTGTGAGGCAGAGATTAAGAAAAAACAGAAAATACATTTGAAATCAATTTTGGCAGCTGGAAATATAATAACTTTCAATAATTATGAGCTAGTGTGTGATTAAATTCCATCTCTAAATTTGCTTTGCAGCTTTATATTTGATATTATTATAGTAGGTACTGAATGTTGCTTTTTTAACCAATTAAATTTATAACTCTAATCAATAAGAGATGCTTGAAGATGACAGGCTGATTTCTGTTCCCTTGGAAACACATTTCTTTAATAAACAATGGATCCCTAGGGTACCAACTTTTTAAATTTCGTTTCTCCTCATTTTATGGTGTTTAGTTCCATGAACTCAGTAGGAACTCTAGAGGCTCAGTCCCAGTTCAGTCTGTAACACAAGCTATTATGGAGATCACTTTTTTCCTTTGAATAGCTCAAATGAGTGTGTACATGCACCAAGCAGCTTGTTATACTAAGTCCCATAGCTCTGAACATCACTGCCCACATGCAGAGCTTTCATACACCAAGTGCCGTCAGTTAGGACATGCTAGTTCTCATCGTCTAGATTTAATGCTTTGCAGCATAAAGTAATGACTGTAATAAAATGCCATTTGTTCTGTGTTTAGCTATTGGACAAGGCTTTGATAGGAACAGCACATAAATTTACTTTAAACTTTTGAAAGCTTACAGGGACATACTCTTTAATTCCATTTTAACGGGAACTGTAGCTCAGCAGGTAAACAGCTCACTTCCCCAGGGAGGACAAAAGACTCTCACTCTGGACTAACTGATCATCCACTCTCTTCCACTGTTCCCCACTACTTCTCTCTTATGAAACTGATGAGCTTCAACTCTACAAACAGTATCTCCTGCTGCGTGACAGATTCTGCCATTGGGTCTGTGAGAGAAGCTCAGCTCAGTGAGCTCTGAGAGTCAGTGCCCATCAGCTCGGCCTTCCTGACTCACGGGTCTTCAGTGGCTCCTGCTTGCCTTTTTTACAAAACCCAAATCCATTAGCTTTAATGAAAGAAGAGCATCAGTTGGTTTTATGCTCTTCATCCTGTTTTTAACCTCATTAATCTGTCTCTCAAACATAATAGGTCTGTTGCCAATTCTGGTTCAATATAGACCTCATTAATCATATTAACCATATCAATATGATATATGCTATAATTCTCCATTTGCTGTTTCTATGTAAAGGACCTTTGCTGTCAGCCATCTTTTTTTTTTTCTAAAATCCATTGCCATCATCAAGCCTGTCTGCTAGTGCTTAGATTGTACCTGTATCCTATGACCTCTTACAACTACAAATAAGTGTCATTTGGTATTCTTCTTGTGGTGTGTGGTATGTGTATATGTGTGCATGTGTACATATGTATTTATAGGTATTACATATGTATATACATATGTATGTGAGCATATGTGTGTGTGCCTGCACATATTTGGGCATGTGTGTGCATATGTATCTATGTGTGTGCATATCTGGGCTTGTGTGTGTGCATGTATGTGTATATATGTATGTTTGTATGAGTACATATGTATGTATGTATATGAGTATATATATGTATGTGTATATATGGGCATGTATGTACATGTATATGTACGTGTGTATATGTGTATATGTGTGAATATGTGTAGGTATAAGTATTTGTGAATATGCATGTATGGGTGTGTGTGTATGTCTGTGTTTTAGGTCTTTAGATGTTTCAAATGTATGAAAAATGTCCAAGAGAAAATTCCAACTCTCATTGGAACTTTTTTTCCTAGCAGAAGTCCTGTTTTCTAGCAGGACTGTCCAAAAAAATATTTGTGGATGGAAAAACTTTGTGTTTTATCTGTTCTCTGTGAAAACACTTGGTCCATGTGATTATTAATCATGTGAAACATGCCAAGGCAACAGGGCATGAGAATTTAATTTTATTATGTTTCATTTATTTTTAATTGTCATATTGTTATTGAGTGTTAATTGGAGTAATGAACAATTCATTGAATTATTCTATAAACTATAGGAGTAGAAAATAGTATTATACAAATGGTAAAAGAAAGGCCAGTGAATATGAAATAGATGGGTCTAAATTTACATAAAATTAGTCTTACCTTTGTCATCGCTAAGTTTCACTGAATTGGATTATACTTGGAAACCATTCCATATCTGAAAATCTAAAAGCAACTTTCAGTTTCTCTCTTGGGAAAAATAAATACTTTAGATTTTAAGTGGAAATTTGTTCTCATGGCATCTTCTGTATGGTCTTCTACAATTATCTATAATATACATTTTAATGAAGGTAAAATCCATGTTAAAAGATCACTGTATTATAATGTACATCATACAAAACCAAGCTAGTAAGATTGTAATTTCAAGATCCAGTGAGAGTCAACCTTCAAACAATGAAAAATGACTCCTTTTCCAAGTAGCAAGGACAATCATATTTTGAATTTTAAATTTTGAACTTACAAAGCATGACACAATCATTGGTTTCATAAAGCATCCATTATTCACAATTAATGGAGTGAGAAGTGAAATTCATATGAAAGAAATAGAGCACTATTTTACATGATTGTGCATTCTGAACACACTAAAGATGTCCCCATAAAAATAAATGATAATGACAATGTTGACTGTGACAATGTGTTTCCTTCCTTTGCTAGCACTGGCTCACTGAACTGGAAATTTTAGCAATGGTCTTTGCAGCTGCCATTCATGATTATGAACACACAGGAACAACAAACAACTTCCATATTCAGACGAGGTAAGTGCAATGAAATCTTAGCATTAACAAGTAAAAATTTAAAACTTATTTTTCTTAAAAGGACAGGGCAAAGAAGACAATTATGGTCAAAGTACATGCTAAAATTCAACAAAATGAGTGTCCTTGTGAAATTCATTGTCATGAGCAATGGATATATGCCAATTAAAATAATTTTTAAATATTTTTATTCTTAAGAGAAGTTGTTTAGAACGTGTAGACTTTATTAAGAATAGGTTTAAAAAATTTTAGCAATCTTTCTTAAGCTTTAACAACTTAAATCAATCTACTGCTCTTTTTCAAAACTATTCATTTTGCCTGACACATTAACAACTTAAAGAACATAGATGTCTGTAGGATAAGTTCTGTCTGCCAAGGCTTAGCCTAAGCAGTCACATAAGTCAGATATGTATTCACTGAGGAACATCATATAATAAATTGTGTAAGGTATTGTTTTGGATCACAGTATATGATACAAAAGGTATACAACTTTATTTCTTAAGAAATCAAGAGATTGTAGAAATCTCATTCCAGGGCAGTAGGAAATATTTAATATAATTGAAAAACAAGATGCTTTCATGAAGGCTAATATGGTAATTGCTCAAACCAAAGTACTAGAGTAGACATGGATTTTAGTAGCCTCTAGGGTTCCTATGACAAAATACCACCGAATGGGTGGCTTAAACATCATGCAATTCCTTTCTGACAGTACTAGCAGTCTTGAGACTAAGACTAAGGTGACAGAGGAGTCTCTCTTCTAGGTCTTAACCCCTAGCTTGCAAACAGTAACCTCTTTGTGTCCTCAAGCTGGTCTTTTCTCTCTGCTTATACTCCCTGGTTCTCCTTCCTCTTTATATGAGGACACAATTCATACAGGACTTTGTTTTACCTCATTTAATCTCAATTATACCCTGAATAAATATATATCCCAATACAGGTTACACTGAGGATTAGAGGGTCAACATATGAATCTGGTATGTGTGGGGTACAGAGTGCTATCTGTAAAAGGAAGGTACTGTAAGTTCTTTTTACTTAAATGGAAATATCAGTGCCTGAGAGGTAGAATTTAGTCCTGAGTAAATCAGGATGCAATTCACTTTCTGTATGTGGAATCCTAATATTTTGTGATTCATTAGCCAAGATTGCTTAAGAAGAAAATGGATATAAACAAAGTTATTTAAAAGACAATTTGATGTGAATATTATCCTCACTGAGCAGAAACAACATTAATAACTTTCCCACTCAGGCCTATGACCTCCGCAGCCATGGGCTTTTAATCAGGTTTATACCACCAAACATGAATTCCTTCTTGTGGCAGTGGGCTACAAATTCAATCAGCAAGTAGTTTATCATCCCTCTAACAGATGTGCTACTATTACAATAGTGGGCACTTCCTGCCTGTCTGATTGGTAGTGTGTATACAGGATCTACAGCAGAGTAAGTCTGTTGGTGAGAGGTCTCCTTCAGCAACCCACAGAGGAGCCTCTGGCACTCTGAGGGAAAGCCTTCTCGTGAGAAGCTTCCAAGCCAGTTCCACCTTAATTTCACTAAGTCTGAAACTAGAGAATTTGATGCATTCTATAAGAAATTCTTATCACCTAGTTCTGGTGGGCAACTAACAGCAGTGGTAATTTACCTGTGTTGTTTTAAGGGTTTTGACTATACCTCATAGGAAGGTATTCTGTGTTTGGTTTTTCTTTTAATAAATTATAACTTATGGAAGCCGCTTTATTCACCCACAGGAGTACCACCTTTCAAATTCTATTTCATTTTTAATTAGTCCATCAAGTGTCAGCCGTCTCAGCCATTGCTTTAGCTGACCCGTCTTCTCTTACTCTTCCCAACCTCCCCACCCTACATCCTCACGTAAACCAACCATTCCCCAATATTCCCCCTTTCACAGGGTTAAATATGCTTATCTTTGTTTATTCCCTGGTTTTGTTTTGATAAACAGTTTCTTAGAACAATTTTAGATTTATGGAACACTGATCATGGGAGGCAAAGTTTCTATAGGGTCAACCCAGCTACCCTACATTTTTGTCCTACAATCAGGACCAATGGACACAGCTTGACTTGAAATAGAGCACTATTTGCAGTTAACAAGTGAACACTGATATATTATTAATTATAGTCCTTGCTTTTCTTTAGGGCTCAGATTCTGTTTGTAATTTCTACGGGTTTTGATAAATGTCTAATGAACCTCTGTGTAGCTTTAATGATTTAAGCATCTCATTTTCTTTGCTTATTTCTCTCTTCCTTTCACCATGGGAAACAGTGTTCTTCTAAAGATTGGGTTAGTTTTGCCTTTTCCAAAGTGTCAAGTTGAAGTTAGACAGTATGTGTCCTAGACTAATTTTTTTCCCACTCAGTAATGTATGTGAAAGTTTCCTCCATGTTTTCTCATGTCTTGGTAACACATTTTTATTCTTTTTTTCCCAAAGGGGAGGGGGCTTATTCAGGAGATAAGCAAGAGGAGAGAGAGAGCAGAGAGGTAGAGGAGTAGAGGCCAGCCATGACCATGTGGAGAGAGGGGGAAGGGAAGGGAGGAAGAGCAAGGAGAAGCTAGAGGCAAGAGAGTAACAGAGTAAGAGAGAGAGGAGGAGGCAAGCAGCCCCTTTTGTAGTGGGCACGCCTACCTGGCTGTTGCCAGGTAACTGTGGGGAGGAGCATACCTGGGTGTTGCCAGATAACTGTGGAGGTGGAGTTTAGACAGAATACTAACATTCCCCCATTTTGGTTTAATTAAAAGAGAAAAATTAGAACGAGGTGACAGCGAAGCAGGAATAGGGTCGCTGTGATATCTGGTTACTTCCTCCTGGCATTGGGGGTGACATGTCTTTAGGGGGAACCTAGAAGAATGGGTATGGAGGATGTTTGTCCGGTCTTAGGAGACTTGGCTGTTTCCTGCTGTCCAGGGTCTATGGGGTGAGCCATCTGAGGATAGGTCAGAAGGAACAGGTTCAGTAAAAGCAGCTGTGTGTGTGACAAAAGATGGAGCATCTGGAGATTGCTTCTCTGGAGCTGTTTTGGATGTGCCTGGACTTGACAAGATCTGGATGGCGTCTATTTGGTCCATGAGAGGTAGATCTTGGTGGGTTCCCTATAGCTTATAAGTTTACAAAAGAGATAACAGTGTGAGTTAACAACACAAGCAGTCTTTAAGATGAGCCTTTGTTAGATCGGATCATATAGTGGAATGTTTTATTAGAGTTAGGCAAGTTTATAGGAACTCAGATAATATTAGGACAGTGGCATAGCAAGAAGAGAAAATATGAAGCATTTAATTGATGACAACTCAGTTTAGGTAATGAAGTAATAGATAATATCTGTGAAAGCTTAGCTGTCAATGTAGTCAGAAGTCTGAGAAAGAGTAAACAATAATCTACCAGTTATATATTATTTTTTAAAAATGACAGAGTCCACTAGCCAACAATTCCCATGGTCTCCATAGTATCTTGGGCGAAGTCAGTTTGGCTTCCAAGCGCTAAAGACTCAGGGCTTTTTTCTGTGGAATGGATACGCATGACATGAGAAATGACTTACCTTGGTTTGACTTAGCTAAGTCATTTGACTCAGAGCATCCAGTCTAGCCCACTGCGTTTGTTAGTGACTATATCATCACATACAATCCAGGCTGTATCCTCTAGGTGTCTGGTGTCCAGATCTTGTGAAACCGTCTTGGGTCAACCGTTAGAGACTTTGGGAATTCTGTCGGCCTTAAACTTAAATATACTATTAGCAGACTTCTGACAAGATTGAGAGCCATAAGGATTGGTTGTAACTGAATAGAATTTAATAGCAGTAGTAAAAATCTATTAAGACAGAACCTTTCCTATCCTGTTTTAAGTAACTTTAGTGGGTTGTGTAGATAGAGAAAAGCACATTTTTTGTATTAGCAAAGAAACATTTGGCTAGGACCAGAATAAGAAACCTGGATCGTATGGCTGGTGTGTGTGTGTTTGGGGGGGGGCGGCAGTGGCAGCAGGGCAGGACTTCCTGCTAGCGGCGGGAAGTCGTTGCCCAGTGTCTCTGGCGGCTAGAGTTTGTAGTGGGCAAGGGAAAGCAAGCATGTCCCAGATCACAGCAACGTTCATGTTAGTTGTTTTTGTAGCAGAAGGCACCGATAGCACCCACTTTACAGGTCCCAGGCAGAGAGGGAGAGGGAATGACTCCCTAGCATGCTCGGGTAGCCAAGCCCTTTGTGCGGGTGGTTGTGTGCGTGGGGAAGCAAGTCTAGCTGGTCTGATGTAAACCTGCAGACGTCCGCTAGAGTCTCAGCAATTCCCCCATTTTGGTTTAATTAAAAAAGAAAAATTAGAAAGAGGTGTGGGGTTGAGCAGGTTTCCTAGCTAAGAGAACCTGGGGTGGGGAAGAGGCAGAACACGTGGAAGGAGTATAATGAAGGTAGATAAATGCTCAAGCATAGGGGATTTGTTTCCATTTACCAGACTGCTGGCAGTGTGTGTTAAGACCTCTTAAAATAGTTGGGTCTAGTGTGCCATTACATGGCTACTTTAGTCCATTATCTAGAGGGTATCGAATCTAGACCTTATTGCAGAGGTGTATCAATTTGGAAGGCCTCAAATCATGTGTTAATTTTAGAGATTTGAGGTTTTTCAGTAGACAACCCAGTGGGGTGTCTGTGGGTACAGTCGAAGACAATGTGGTACCCATTGGGTGACAGCTGTTACCGAGCTATCAGTTGGTGTCCTGAAAGAAAAGCTGGCAACAAAAAATCAGCCTCAGGCTAGATAATCAGGTTGTCACAAGAATATCTAGGGGCCTCTGTGGAACTAGTTCGGCAGAAAATAGCCCACCTGGTACCAGGATTTCTGGAAGCTGCGAGAGCTGGGGGGCGGGGGCTGGAAGCTATTTCTGAGAGGGGAATCACCCAATGGCCAATGTCCTAGGTCATAGTTCAGGTAGAGGCCAGTCATATGGACTGGGGCAATGAAAAGCCAACCCCTTAGCCCAGGGAAGGCTGGCCAGACCCTAACTGGGCA